ATATATAAACATGTATGTGCGTGTTTCTATGAGAAATAAGAATATATCTCAGAACACACACACATTTTTGGAAATTTGAATGCATAACAGCATGATGCTATGGTCTGATATGCAGGTACAGGGCTATTGCAACAGCATAATTTTTGTGAGTTACATTATTTTCCAGTGTAGCAAAATGACAAAGGTGTTGTACCCATGAAGAATGGTACCCTTGGACCAGTCAGTTTAACTGCTCTCTACAAGGGCTTGCATGAGTGGTCCTAAGAGGGGGGATAGGAGGGGCGCAGGATGAAAGAACTGTCAAGATCTATCCTGGCTAAGTTGGCAGGAGCAACTTAGGTATGAACTGACGGCATCTTCCTAAGAAGGCCACTGTAGCAATTTTGTAACACTGATATTGCATGAGCTGGACTTTTTCTACAGTTTCTAGTTTTCAGACCAACAGTCGGTAAGTGCTTGGGCCAATACACCGTTTCCTCCAGGTACTGGGTTGCAGAGACTGGAATACAGTGGTACCTTGGCTCACAAACTTAATCCGTTCTACGACTCTGGTTGTGACCCAAATTGGCTATGACTCAAGTCAAATTTCCCCATAAGGTTCAATGTAAATAAGGTTAATCCATTCTGTAACTATTTTTTTAATCAGAAATTTTGAAACAAAGTGACAAAGAACAAAGTAACAAAGTACTGTACAGTACTGTACAGGTGTGGGGGAAGGTTATTGTTTTGAGGGAGAGTCCCCTCCGTAAGGACATTGGGGAGATCTCTTTCAGGGGTTTCCTCTCTTCTTTGTCTCTTAGCTGCAGGGTCAATTTTGGTGAAAAATCTGTCTATAGTCACTTGTTTTTTCCTGCGCTGCATAACCCTCCGGAAATGAGAGACCACATTATTGTTTATCAGATTCAACACTCTGTTTGTTACAGTTATGTTGGGGTGGTGCTTCTCAAAGAAATCCTGGCATGGACGCGCTCCTGCAGGAAAGACGGGTGCAATCTCGGCCATCTCTCCTCCCCCCCGCTCCGAACAACTAGCACGATTGCGGTCATCTCTCTCCCAGCCAGCACGATCGCAGTCATCTCCTAACCTCCCTGAGTGAGGAGATGGCCACAATCGCAGTTGCATTTGTGCAGGGAAGATGTGCGTGATCACGGTCGTGCTCCTGCAGGAAAGACGGGCGCAGCACAGCACAGCCACCGCAATCACGCATGTGTTCCCTGCATGAACGTGACTGCAACTGTGGCCATCTCCCCACTTGGTTGGGTGGGGAGATGGCCGCAATTGTGCGGGTTGGGGGTGGGGGAGATGGCTGAGATTGCACCCATCTTTCCTGCAGGAGCGTGCTCATGATTACACACGTCTTCCCTGCACGAACACAACTGCGATCGTGGCCATCTCCCCACTCGGGTGGAGGGAATGGCTACAATCTTGGTCACCACCCACAGTGGAGTTCGTGACCCAAGTCAAAATTTTCATGAAATTTTTGTTCGTGACCCAATTTGGTCATGAACTAAGGTGTTTGTAAGCCCGAGGTACCACTGTACTCCCACATAAACCCCTAATGGCAAATGGCCCTAATCAACATGGTACTGAAGGGTCTGGGTTTGGTCCAAAGATCACAGGAAATTTTGCGGGGTGATTTATCACAATTTCCCCCATTTCTTAGTATTTTTTATTTAATTCGATATATACCCTACGTATACACTACTAAAAAATAGCACTCAAGGCAGTTTGAGTGCCATTTTCAGTATATAAATAAAACATACACATTTTTTCCTCATAGGATACTTCTCTGGTGTTATCTGATAAACCTATGAAAGGAATTTGAATTTTCAAACATCTTCAAGGGAGGACCCTCGGGGTCTTCTTTCATGCTCCCAAACTTCAGCAGAAGAGAATTATGTGCAATATCTTTAGTCTCATTCATTGCTTAACTTCTAAGTTGAATTCTGCTATTGTTGTGTTGTGAATCTGCAAGCAGCATATTCCACACCATTTGCTAAGCAATGGTGACCATAGATTGACTTCCAATTGACTTGCTCACTTTACACCGTATTTCTAGCACACAGAAGTATTCTAGTCACATGAAATTTATAGTCTTCCATTTTCAGCATAACCCAAAACACCATCTTTTATATGTTTATTTGCAATACCACTTGTTTTCTTTGGAGCATTTAGATACTTCGGACATATGCCAGAGTTGTTGGTGTGGCATTTTATATATTAGAAGCCACCATTAACGATAGACCTGGATTGATACTCTCCATTTGTATACAGACTTCAGCAAATAATGTTCCACAGCATTCAGAACTATTATCCTATCAGCAACTATAAATATTTAGTTTAGCTTCTCTCATAGCACACTTATAATGCTTATGGATTATTTGTATTTTGGGAACTTTGCCAATTGGAAACACAACCCTATTAAGGACAGATGTTGTCCACAGTTTTTGATTGAAGTCATAACTGTGTGTATATATACATGTCATTTGTTCCTGTTTTTAGTTTTACGAAAGTGCATTTGACATATGTATTGTATTTTTTTTTTTTTAAATGGAGAATCTTGTGCATGTTTAGATAGGAAAACATCCCATTCCAGTTTAAAAAGGTGTTATTCATACACCTTGATTTACAATGCAATGCAATCCTGTACATGTTTACTCAGCACAATTCATCATTGAATTTAATGGAACTTAATCTCAGGTAAGTAGGTATAGCATTACAGCCTTATTTATTCTTCAAGAATAAGATGATTCTTTGGATACAGTGCTTTATCCACTGATCTCTTTCCTCCTGAATATAAATGCAGTGTTTATGCCATCATTACCTTTCAGGATTAAAATAAGCTTTTATTCTGAAACCCCAATTTTCATCAGGGTTCACATGTTAACTTTAGGAACCAGTTTAGAAACAAGAAAATTAGCATTAAAATATCACAGACTTCACCCAGTTCACTACAAGGCCAATTTAAAAATTCAAATAAAGAGCTGAAAGTATAATAGAAGGCAAAAATTTCATTCCAAAATGTGCACTGAATATTAATTCATACTGTGGTGGTTGATGCCATGAAAGTAAAGTAAAGAATGTAAAAAATATAGACAATGTACATTATTAAATTATGGAAGGAATTACTTTATTTAAAACAAATGGACATATAAATGATTATGCTTGTAATTATTGGGCTGAAATCCTATGCTGAAATACCTGGGAAGAAGTCCTGTAGAACTCAACAGCACTCATTCTGGGTATACATGTATAGGATTGAAGTCTTCTGCTGCAGCATGAAGTTCATGTTACTATTTTCAGACTGATTTTGTTGTTGATGATAAAGAAAAGCTATCTAACCCAGCAATATAAGTTCTTAGCACTTTTAAAAGGACAATATATAATAGAAACAAAAATGATGTCCACAGAAGAATTACAGAATTTTACTGTTAATAATGAAGAAATAGAAAGATCTCGCATAGCTCAGCTCAGTCATCAATTTGCAGCCAAGAAATTTGATTGCAGAAATTTGAAGAAGACTGAGACTTGGAATGGCAGCAGTGAAGGACTATACAAGATTATTAAGTCTAAGGACATTTTCCTGGAGACGAAGGTCAAGATCATCCAAATGACTAGGTTGAAGATGACAGCACATAACAACAACATATAGTAAATGGTTGGTTTGCTTTCAGAGGAGAGAAGCCATCATATTAAATTAAGGTTATGTGCCTAAAGATAAAGGTTAATTATAGAGAAAAAAGTTTTCATCAGTTTAAACTGGTGAGGATAATGATGATGATTAATACAAGTTTAATTTTCTACTTGAATGTAATTTTTCTAGTTCATATTTCTTAACCTGAAAGAACTTCTATGCTTGATGTTTTGAATGTTAGTTGTTTTGTGCTTTAAAGAAGCAAGATATACTTTACCATGGCATAAAGAAGACAACCTGCCTTGAAAGCAGGTTCTGAAGGGGAAGGGCTGTTTTTCTGTCTCAAGCATCATTTGATGGAGCTACATGTTACGATGGAAGCATGGGGTTTGCTTTTGGGTGTTGCCATGTAAGGACAGGGGAGGGAACACACAGGAGAGAATCACTAGGCAGGAGGTCACAATGGACCTTTCTCTGCACACCCGTTCTCCTGCAAATACCTGCAGCATATTTTGCCTCCTTCCCCTCCATCTCTCCAGCAAGGCTCTGAAACTGAAAGAAGCTCAGCTGCAGGAGAAGCAATTGAGAACACATCTGCAGGGGAGTATAATCAGATGTGGGAAAGGTGTAGTGGCAAATTCCGAAGTGCAGAATTGTGATCGTCCCTTAGCCACACCCACAGTGAAAGTTCAGAAGTGCTGATTCGTGTCAGTAAACCAGTTCTAGCGGTTTTCATCCCTTAGGAGCAAGTCTTTTGTAAAGCAAATGGGTCTCAATTGGCCATTCAAGACTGAACCACCCCAGAGTACCTTGCATTACAACAAATACAATATATTCCCCACCCCTAGCTCCTGGGAGGATTGCAGTTACCCTTGGTGGGAACAGGACATCCTGAGTGGGGCGATGGATGTCATACTGGCTCTCCTGATGAAAACATGGCCATGCAGTGATGTCTCCTTGTGAACCCTGGTCCCACTAGACCATCCATTCACCATTCATCCCCTAAAAAGACCTCTTCCTGCTTCTGGCTTTGCATGTGTGAGCTTCTTACCCAGTTTCCGGAAATATTTATAGCATGATTTCTGAGGACCTTATTACTGCATTGCTCAAAGCTAGGCTGGAGCACACCAACACTCACACTCCAGGAATCCATTCTGCTAAACTCTTGTATTTCTTGTAAATGGTGATATGTACATGGTGACACATAACATCAATTGTGACTCACAAAATGCAGTGCCTGATTATCCTCTAATACAGCTTCACCAACGCTATAGCAGTTTCCCTAACCTTTAACTGTTTTCTCCTTTCCAATATGAATATAGTGCTAGCTTTCATTGTAAACTGTCTTTTAAAAATGTCTTTTCAGAACTGCTTTTTGTCCCCAAGAAATTCTCGTCGATTCCATGCAGCTCTGGCATCTGTATCTACTACATTCTTGATTTTCTCCAACCTTATCTTTCTTGGAGGAAATCAGGTTGGCCAAATCTACTGGAAGAGAATCTTCATAGAAGGCAAGTTATATCTATCTAAATATTTACTTTTCATGTTTCATTAAAATATACCTGTCTGGAGCTTGATTAAGCCTTGCAAGCCAAGCAAACACCAAAAAAGCTTCCTCAGATGCCAGTACCCCTGTGCTTGTGCAGTGTGCACTTCATTCAACTACTATTTCTTTCCTTTCACATTATAACAATGGTGGCAACTATTATAAGCATTTTCTTGGGACCTGTTGGTTTAGGTCACAATCCTATGAAGTGAGCCTAAGCCTCTGAACCTGGCGGCTCATGTTCATCCAGTGCAGAAAGGGAAGAGTCGCTGAGGTGATCTTCATCTCTGTGGCTCCTGCAGCTCTGCATGTTCAATAGATGGATGTTTTTGGCTGTCTAGCAACAGCATTTCAGCAGCAGAGGGAAGGAGGCTGTAGCAGCCTCAGGATTCATCCCTTCCTTTGAAATACAAGCTGCTTTCCTGATCTCGGAGGGTAGCTGGCACAGTTCTGTTCACTCCAGCTACAAGGAAGCAGTAGGGGCAGAGTTTCGTCTCTGAACTCAGAACTGAGAATCAGAACTATTCTGCGCCCCTCAGGCAATGTCTGGGAGCCATTAGATTGTCCCTTTAAGACTGAACAGTTATTTATTTCATTTTTTTCTTCTTCCAAAATAGTGCTCAAGACAACAAAGTAGCATAAATTACCAACACAGAATGCATATAAGCCAAGGCTGGATAAACTAAGAAGCAGCAGTTAATAACGTTGCACATAGTGCAATCAGCTATGAGGAAATGCTTTTAAAGACAGAACACTGTTGCTTTTGTGAGCAGACACCAAAATAACAATAAGGTATGAGCCAGGTGGCTCTTCCAAGCAAGTGTGTTCCACAAAGTGGGTTGTCATGGCTATGAGTACTGATAAAAGATGAAAAAGCTTCTTAGAAAGAGACAAGAAAGATTTATTCAAAACAGATTATGCACACAGCAGAGAGGGTCTGGCAAAGCCAAGCGAGGTAACAAAGTTTACACAGATGTCTTGGTTACACATATGCACTACAAGGACTGCTATAAGAAAGTTGCATTCCATTAATTTCTTTATGGCAGACAAAACAGATGCAGGGATTGGGCCCTCAGAAATGCAGTTTTCCAAGCAAGAAAGGTCAGACTGTGCAGGTGAGCTATACAAAGAGGTGGATGGGTTGGAATGTGTTACTGAAATGCCACGGTTAATGAGTGAGATTAGCCGAGCAATTCAGGGGTAGAACAACAAGGGTCAGAGGAAGTGGTGAGAGGTAATCTACCAATGATTTGTCATCAAGCCAGACAAGGAGACCAGTTAATAATGTCCAGCATTTCTGGCCACAAGCAGCATGAACCTCCCTGAGGGTGGAGCCAGCCCTTTTGGAGGCAGAAGAGAGGAGGGGAATTCATTTTGGAATCAATTCTTGACATGGACAAGAGTTTATCCCACTGTTACAATTGGCTTGGTGAAAATCCCTCACTTTCCCCCAAACCCCTTGGTGGGAAGGATCTGCCACCTTTCTTGGCCACTTTCAGACTGACTACAGTACTGAATTAGCACTCCACTCACTCAATTTCAGTGAAAAGAATTCATTTATTAGAGTAAAACCAGATGGGATGGAAAAAAGGGTTGAAAGAGGATAAGATTGCAAGGGATAGAATGATGAAGGGGAAAGAATGGCAAAATACAACAGCAAATCCCACATGGCAGACAGATAGACGTTGTCTATCTGGGCATTATCCTTTACTGTTTGCCCACAGTGAGATGCCCTTCTAGTGCTGCAGCAGCTAGCAGTTATGAGGTATCCCAAGAGCGGCAACACTTAATTTCTGGAAGGAAGATTGGTGAACATTTTTGCAGAACATGCATTCCCATTCATGTCTGTTGCCTTTCCAGATGATTTGTGAACTGAACCAAATTCCACTGCATCCTTACCCAGAACTGCAAAATCTCAGAAGGCTAGCTGTATTTTGTAGCACAAACAGCAGCAAGTGCTCTTGCATCTTAAAGCTGTCTCACCTTTATTTTTACAAGAATAAGCAAGATCTTGCATCATCAGGCACAGAGAATGGCTTGTATACCAGGGACATCTCTTCTCCCCTGCACGCAAAGACTCACTGCACCATTATTTACCGTAAATGTTGTCAGGTCGTTCAGTGATTGTTGTTTTTCTGCACAGCTCTGTTGTTCTCATTGTGCAGTAAATATAATCTGAATGAACACTTCCAAGTAATTTGCTGGACAGACAGCAACCTATAATACTGAAAAACAAAACTCATTTTAAAGCCACAAAGGGCAGTAATATTACCTCTTCCTTGTGAAGATGTGAGATATTAAATTACCTCCCATAAAAATAGTATTTCCCTGACCCTCTCTTCTCTCTGAGGACTGGTACCTCGAAGAACTTCATGAATAGTAACTCCTGGGGTGACTGCCTTGCTCACAATCTTCATTCCTTGGCCCTGCCGTTTCTTTCCTGGCTAGCAGCCATCTGCAATGGTGCTTCCAGAGTGCACCTCAAAACTGAACCTGCCCCTTGGCCTGAAAGAGGATCTCTACCATATTGTGCAGAAATGCATATTTTGGGTTAGAATGCATTTAGAAATGAGTACAAAGAATGGAAATACATTTAGGGTGCCATCCTGTGCCTTCCCACAATTCTCTGGGAGGGAAGAGAATGATTGCACAGAATTCTTCTGAGTCACAGTTCTGAGATACTGCAATCTTGGAGCAGGGATTCTGAAAGCTGTGCCTCCACCCACTTGCAGCCAGCTTGAAAAGAACCACACCGATGCCGCACCTGGGCCTTGGACAGCGGGTGAGGGTGTAAAGGAGCGTTCTGGGGGTGGGGAGAGGAGGAGGCTGAGGGCAATGCCAATTTCTGTTGGCACCCCAGCTCCTTCCTTCCCTCTCCCTGGAACTTTATCTAGATCGCCAGAAGAAGCCATAAAGATAAAGTACAGGATGTGAACTGTGGTTGCAAACTCCGCATCTCACCCCTGCCATTGGATGTTTGTAAGCCTCTGAGTTGAGAGGTTTACATAGATCATACCCTTAGAAAAGGAAGGTATTTCAGGCCAAATCCTATGCATATTTTGACAGAAAAAAGTCCTACAACTCCTAGCATTCTTGAGGCAGCATGCTGATTAAACTTGTTTAAGGTTGCAGCTTAAAAATATGTGGTTTGAGAAAAAAAATTCAGAAATGCACATTTGCGAGAAAAATAAATTTAGAAATCTGATTTAAATACAAATTCCTTACAAACTGAAAAAAAAACTGTGATGATTAATTTGGAATTGCAATGGCATGGATTTATGCGTGAGCACTTGCGAAACTGACACAGACTGGAAATAGACTGATTTGCCCATTCCTGTCTGGCACATAGCCAAATATATCCCTAAGGATTCTTTCTGTAGTGATAGATAACTAGTAATATTCATGGGGAGGTAAGAACGGTACCTAAAAATAATGTGCACAGTATTTTTAGAGGCAATAGATGAAAGCATGATTTTCCTACCAGATTACCAGATTGTCTTGACTGTTCAGGCTTCTGTTGAATCAGATTACTTCAGACGGGTATTATATTTAAATCTGAATTGGAGCATGACAATTTTAGACCAAGAAAAGATGGGTTCCTGTATAAGCTTACAACTTAATCTGCACTCACTGGCGCTGATCTTGCAATCAGATTAATCAAAAAATATGTGAGGCTTTTGGAAATTCAGGAATTACATTTTATCCCTGGCTTTGCTTTGTTCTTCGTGTTATGCACCTGCTTCACTTTCCTCTTTTCATTTCATGCAGCGGGTTGAAATGCTGTCTCAGACTGTCCTGCTTGATATCGCAAGGAGAAATATTTTTAAAAGAAAATCATAGGACTGAAAGGTATAAAAGAGCGTTAAGACAGAAAAGGTTCAACCGATAAGTAGATGAAATACTGCAAATGGAAGATGATATAAACAGAGATCGGGAACTAAATCCAGAAATATAAGTGAGGGATAGTTGACGCTGGGGAGGTAAGCTAGCTTGCCTCAGGAAATTAATTATTGAGGTGTCTGGTGCTGTGTTCTGTTTTGATACTGATGCTTTAATACAGTTTTCTTATATTGGTGTTGTATCAAAACAACAACAACAACCAAAATCAGTTTAAACCATATGACTGGAGGCCACCAGAATGGATATCAATAAGTGAAATGCATTTCTTTGTAGAATTTTAAAAAACTTAGACAAGTTATAACCAAGTACACTCCTTTTGAGAACATTTGCCATGTCTGGTCATTGTTTAATTGTAACTGTGTTTATAGAGCTGGCACTGATCAGCTTTTTGAAAGGGCCTAGGAGAATGGTCACCACTGGTTCCCCCCAAACTATTGATTGGCAGGGTTGCCGCTTCTTTTTTTGCTTGAGAGCTGCATGCATGCAGCATCAGCTATTTTTCAGGTAATTCGTTTGGTTTAAACCTTACCCTCTCCCAAGGAAATGGCACTGAATGGCAATAACAAAAGTTCAGAAACAAAAACAATCCTAAGAACAGCTTATCGGTTCCAGCATTTTGTCCAGACAGCATCCAAACAGCTGCCCCTTGAAAACCTGCAAGCAGGAATTGAGGACGGAAGCACCTGCCTGCCCATGTTGCCCGGCATCCGAGGTACGTGGACATACTACCTCTGATATTGCAGGTCGCATATAGTGGGGTGGCCAGACTTGCTCAATGGAAGAGCTACATACAGTTTGAGAGGCACAAGACATGAAAAAATATTTATTTTTATTTATGTATTATGACCAAACAGACATTGCTACAATTAGCAGGCTAGCTACTGCTAGTAGAGGTCTTGTGAGTCTCCATCTTGGTTGTGAGTTGTTGCAAACTGACAAAAGACTGGACTAATCAATTAACATGAATTTCAGCTAATGCAACCCCACACACACTTACCTAGGTGTAAGCTCCACCAAACATAGTAGGATTTACTGCCGAGTAAACTTCTGTTAGGGCACTGTTAT